TCGGTTAGGCCTTGCTGTGTGGCGGAGCTTAGCCGGGCGCCTTGCTGAGGCGCCGCAGCCCCTGGGTGTGCCCCGCGGCAGCCTTGCCTCAGCCTCGCGGTGAAAGGGGCCTACCCTTTCCAAATAAATCTCTTCCCCGTCCCTCCTGCCCAAGCCCGCCGTCGTGAACCGACTCTGTGAGGGACCTTGGAATTGCTCAGTGTGAGGGAGGTTCCCGCGCTCGTCGTGAACCTCGCTGTTAGTCTGAATTGCACAGGTCTACCTTTCTCGCGGTGTGGAAGTTGTACGTATGGAAGGGAGAGGCACACCTACTGAGAAAACTCACTGGAAACTCTTAAAAACTGCCCTAAGGTGTAGAAGTATTTGCATTTTGAAACTATTAACGATGTTCATAGTTTAAACTGATGGTCTTCCTTCGCTGTCAGAGAGAAAATCATGGTTACAAAACCTGACAGTACAGTAGGTCTTGCAGCACACGCGGGGGTAGAGTTTGCGTTTGCTACACGTTCTTCGGAATACAGATTCTTGTTTCTAAATTATTTCCCAATGCACTTGTAGTACTGGGAAAATAATTGAGCTCTCAGTTTTTTTTCCTCAAATGCACTGTCAATGTAATGAGCTTTATTACACCTTAATTATAATCAAGTTAATTTGATTGGCAAAAGCTCAGTTTTCTAAGATACCTCAGTGTTTGAAGACTCCTCATGCTGGGCCTATCCTGATGTCTGAAGTGATGCTGAAATACAATCTTACTGTGTTTTCAAAAACTCAGCTTTCTTCAACCAGCTGCAGAATGTTTTATTTTTCATAAGCTCAGTAGGCTGTCTTCAAGCATACAAACAAGTGCAAATCTTAACAACTGCCTGTTTGTTGTAATAGGTTTTGGCTATTTACTTTTAGAAAAATGAGCCATTTATGAGGAATACAAAATACAGTATGAGGCTAAGGGAATAGCCTACTTAAAGGAGTATCACTAATGATAAAGACCAACAAAATCCCACCTTGGATCTGATTAAAGGTTAAGCTTGTTCAGTTCTCTAACGTTAATCTGATAATTTAGAAGCATCTTTAACTTCTGGTTAACGTCTGATTCCTCAGAAGAATAAGAACTGTTGCAGGAGAGTTTTTGCACTCTACTCAGTAGCTGGCTATAATTTATTTCAACCTTGAAGCCAAGGGTTTAATTTTATTTCAGAATTGTTATCACTTTACTGGAAATTCTTGGTAAACCTATATTTAGTCCCGTGCACTTCTGCATTTGTGGCAATGGTTCTGTAGTTCAAAACTGGATAAAAGTATTCACTTTCTCAGAGTTGACTTCTACATAAACTGTCACATCTTTTTTTTTTTTTAAATGAGAACAGAAGTTTTCCATTTTATTTTGCTTCCCCACTAATTATCTGATACCGATTTCTTCATATGTCTCTGATTAATTTTTCTTTTTGAACAAATAACCAACTTGCGTGGTCCTCTGTCAAAGGAGAAATTATTCTGCTTGCCTTTCACTACCCTAGAGCAGTCCGTGCAATGATTTTTAAGTTTTTAATATTCTTTGTACTGTGTACTATCTTACTACATACACATTTACATTTTTCTGTAGGGTCATTTTGTTTTCTTCTTGGGACTTTGGCTACTTTTAGTAAGGAGCAGTGCAAACAACTTGTAAAGTTTGTAAATAAAACTATCTTCTGAAAACCTTACTGTGTTCAACACATATCCATGACATAAATGCTGCTAAGAAGCTAAAATTAATTTTAGAAGTGGTTTAAGTGAGAATGTTTAATTGCATTTTTTTTTGACACAGGTATGAAAACTCAATGGGGTCGTCCAAAAATATAATAAGTGAGCCTGTTGATGTGGAGGAAGGCTATAACATGATGGTAAGACATTCAGCTGCTATAACAGTGTGATAGGATTTTTCCTACTGCAAGAAAAACTAAATTTTCAAGTTGAGATTCATTGATAAATTGGTTCATTTGATTCTAGAAACGGAATCAATTTAATTTATTAATACCATGATGAGAAACTTTCAAAAATGTATTTTAGTGTAGAAAAAAACTGAGTATATCTTCTGTTTTTGCATCATTTCCAGTTGTGTTAATATATTTTTTTTTTCCACTTTAAGACATTTGTTTCAACTGATCTCCATTTTGAACTGCTTTCATCCTACCTGTGCCCTAGTGTAAGACCATAATGTTTGGTTACACTGATACAGTGGTGCTCTTTGAAGTAGCTGAGGTTAGAGTTGAATTCGTTTTCTTTGAGAATGCGGTGGATGAAACTTGTGGTTTTATTTACAGCAACATATTCATATATGTGAACACCATTAAAACAAGAATCCTCATAAAATGTCTTTTAATATTGAGAGCCATGCAAAGAAACAGTACACACTAAATCACGAAAATCTGCTATTTCAGGCGAAACAAATTTGTAGTCAGATTGTATCTTCAGCACTTTGAAGAAGGTCACTTCTTTGGATAGTTAAGAAGCATATAGGAGGGATTCAGGTGGAGGAAGCAGTCAAAAACCCATGTATCGGTGTCACTTCACTCATACGAAGGAGGGTATTAAAGCTTGCTCTTGTCTGGTCAAACGAAAAAACTATGTTGATACCCACTATGGCCTTTGGCACAATAGTTTACATTTCTCAATGGCTGTATGCTTCATTATTGCTAACTCACCTGCTAAGACCACCTTTAAGGGTTTGTTGTTTTCTTTTGACTGTCATCTAAGTTATGGAGAGTAGAATTTAAAGTCAGGCTCTAGTTTCGTGATACAAAGTACGTGGAAATCATAGAATCATAGAATCATTAAGGTTGGAAAAGACCTTTAAGATCATCAAGTCCAACCATCAACCCAACACCATCACGCCCACTAAATCATGTCCTGAAGTGCCACGTCTACACGTTTTTTGAACACTTCCAGTGATGGTGACTCCACCACCTCCCTGGGCAGCCTGTGCCAATGCTTGACCACTCTCTCAGTAAAGAAATTTTTCCTAATATCCAGTGTAAACCTCCCCTGGTGCAACTTGAGGCCATTTTCTCTCGTCCTGTCACTAGTTACTTGGGAGAAGAGACCAACACCCACCTTGCCACAACCCCCTTTCAGGTAGTTGTAGAGAGCGATAAGGTCTCCCCTCAGTCTCCTCTTCTCCAGACTGTACAAACCCAGTTCCCTCAGCCACTCCTCTTAAGACTTGTTCTCCAGGCCCCTCACCACCTTCGTTGCCCTTCTTGGACAGGCTTGAGCACCTCAATGTCCTTCTTGTAGTGAGGGGCCCAAAACTGAACACAGGACTCAAAGTGAAATGTCATTTTGAGATACTTCTGCTTTCCTTATAAGCCTTTCGGCTTGTAAAAAGTAATTTAAAGACTCCGTTTGGTGTGGACTAGTGCAAAGTTTTACACTTACATAGATGTGAGTAATGATCTCCAGAAATAAGGATGGCAAACAACTGTCTTGGTGGCAGTTGTGCAGAAAGGAGCCTTGGGATTATAGAAGGTTGTATGTGCAACAAGAGAAATTCTGCTTGTACATTACGGAGAGTTGGATTTGCTCTGACCAGGGAATGGGGACTTTGGGATTGAACTAGACCTGCAGAGGTCCTTCCCAGGTTTTGTTACTCTGTGACTCTGTAAGTTCTTTTAATTTATGTGTGATATGTCACGACATGTGTTGTATCATAAGTGATGGAAAGGTAATACCATATTGAAAAAAAATCCCATGCATCATTTTGAGATCATTAAATGGGGGTATCATCTGTAAGATGTGAATAACCTGTCCAGGGTGTTTAACATTGAGGAAGTCTTCACTGAAGTATTTGTGTCTGCTTTTGGACATTGTATTTCAAAGGCAAATGTGAGTCAGTTGGAGACAATCTAGAAGAGAAACCCTAAGTACTCAGATTTAGAAAACTTGAAATCTGAGATCTGGAAAACATGAGAAAAAAGGTTAAAGGAATAGGGATGGTAAGCCTGGAAGATAGGAAGACCATTGAAGGATGAAATGGAACCTAACAGCATAAAAAAAAAAATAGGAAAGAAAAAAATTCAAGTGGTTTCCAAGTCCTCTGCGTATGGCAAGAATGGGTGGGCTTATGCTGTAGGAAAGCCATAGCTAAATATTATGTAGATTGTGCTGAGTGAGCACTGTCTGCTGGTGGAGGATTTGAAAGAAAGGATGCAATATATGAGGAAAGATTTATTTGTTTACTTATTTCATTTTTGGCAGTTGGGGATGCCATGGGTTAGCTTTACTTCCAGCTAAGGTGTGTGTTTGGATCTTTTTTGAAAATTAAAGAAGAAATTAATGCAAAGTGCAGCCTGAATATTCTTTTGGGTTAAGATGGACACATTTCAGAGGCAATTAAATTAAAACTATTCGACTCTGTTCTGAAGTAAGCTGCCACAAGTATTTGCATTGTAAGTTTATACAGTAGTTCAAAGTGATTTTAAAACAGTTACATGACATGCGTGGATCTCAAACTGTTAGATTGGTGATGTATTGTTAAGCAACAAGGGATTAAAAACCCAAACCGAACTTGATTCAGCAGAAATGGTCACACTTAAGAACTTCTAGCAAGCATAGGTAATTAATTATATACAGTAAGGATAGACTAGAACCAGTTTAGTACAGATCCTGGTTTTGTACATGCTTTGCTTGGGTTTCTTTTGGCCAAAATACATCATTTGCTTTATTTATGTCATTAGTTTTCCAAAAGTTCACTTATATAGCAGTGCTAGTTTTTTTCTTTTGTTTTCGTTGTATTACATGGTGATATCTCTGGGTAGGTCCGTGGAGCACTAGATGGCACACTGCGGCTTTGAAACAAGCAATTGAGGACATCTGGATGAGAGAAACGAAAGTTAAATACTGTTGTATAAGCATTGAAGGAAAAGCAGTTTCTCATTTTTGTTGCATTTCCTGCCACCTTAATGAATTATAGCCACTCATCTGCTATATTCTTTTTTACTGTATTTTCTTTCTGAAGATGTACTAGTACTATAAAACAAAGTGGTTACAGGCTTGAGTCATGTGATGGTAAGAACGAAAAGAGGAAAAATGCGTCTTCTGATTAGTGCTATAGAAAATCAGTGTGTTCGTGCCTAAAATGATATTTAAATTTATGGAACTTCTTGGTGGTTAAGTTTGTCAGTGTTTACAGGTAACTTGGTCAGCAGTTTTGTGCTATCATGGTACATAAATTTATCATCACATTATAAAGTTTGGCTTAATTTCAGGTTATTTTCTGAGGAATAACTAAATACACTGTAGAAGCGGCAAGATTTTATCTAATTAACATCTGTCAGTTGATACAAATATTTTTGAATATATTTAGTTTCAAATGTCGTGTGATGGTGTATTTTGCAAGTGTAAAGAAATATGTTTATTAGGTAAATGAAGTTCATCCTCAGTGTCTCTCATTCTGTCTTGGAACAGCTGCAGCTTTCTAGTAAATAACAACTAACTTGAGTTGCCAGGCAATACTTTATAGGTTCTTGTCTTCTCATTGAAAGAGAGGTAGGCTTATTATACATATTTTAGAAGGTTCTGATATACCTTGTGCCTTTCTCCAGGTTCTCTCCAGTCAGCTAACTCATGTATTTTGGTCTGAAGCTGCTTTTATCTTGAATAATTATTTCTAATTAACACAAGCTAACTAAAATGTTTGTAAAGTCTAATGTGGTGCTCTAGCAGCATTGAGCATCAATTAAATGGAGGTTAAAAATGTAGACATAGTGTAGACATACCCATACTGAGGGCTGGATAGTAACTTTCATGTCATGTTGATGAATCAATCTGCTCATCATGCAGGAAAATGGTTGTGGAAATGAATATGTACACCTGTTTTGCATGTTTGAGGAAAATTCAGTGCCTGTGCATCCGCTTTGGATAGTTTAATCATATATTGGATGAAGTTAACATATCAAGACAAAAATACTTTCTTTTCCATCCCTGTATTTTTTGTTTCCAGGCTTCTTTCCAAGGCTCTAACAGCCATGACAAAGTGAGGAAAATAGTCGCAGAAGAGGGACGTACAGCAAGGAACCTAATTGCATGGAGCGTTCCACTGGAAAACAAAGATGATGATGGTATGTATTCAACAGCCTTTCACCAGCTGTTTCCACTTCCATCCATTTGTCCACTGGAGTTGCTCTCCTGCAAACATGTTTCTCACATAGGATTTTTCTATAAAAAAATAAATGGTTATGTTTAGCATACACAGTATAATTTTAAAGCTTTTTTCCAAAATGCACCCTGCAGTTGACAGATCGCTTTATAAAACCTTCACAGTGACAGATTAGAAACTGTTTTCATTTTGTCTGTAAGCAACATGTAAGACTGTTCTCTTTTGCCGATATTATCAAGATACTCATGTAATATAATGATGTCCTCTTAAGCTATATAATAATGTTGTCTTAAACTGATTGCTTTTAACTTGGGAATTCAGAACTGTAGGGGTGGCGTAGAACAATCCAACAAATTGCTCTCTATGCTCTAAAACAAATAAGTTTGGAAGTTTGTTTTGGTATCACTTCAGTCGTTAGTAAACATCTGTGAAGAATCTTTAAGGAAGGGGATATGTGGGGACAGTTTTCCATAATGCAAGTCCTCAGAACAGTTTTGTTACTGTTGTAATATTCTCTTGTGGTATGATGACTTAAGGAGCCAGGAATTGATTTTAATTTTATACTGCTCAAGCTGTTCCAGATGTCAGAATGCTGTTTTTGAGGACTTCATCTCAAGTATTCTTGTAGCTCACATGTCCCTGTGCAGGTGCTGCTGCTTTTGAGACTTAGGCAGGCGTGTCTAAAAGTAAATTTTTTTGTGTGTGCTGTGAAGTGGTTGAACACTGGAACAAGTTGCATAGAGAAAGTGTGGGCAATCTTTGTCCTTGGAGATGCTCAAAACCTGACTGGACACAATCCTGGGCAGCCTGCTCTAGCTGACCCTGCTTTAAGCAGGGAGGCTGGACTAGATGATCTCTGGAGGTTCCTCCCAACCTCAGCTGTTCTGTGATTCTGCCAGTGGAGAAGATATTTCTATGGAAAGTTATGTCTAAGTTACAAGATAATTAACCCTATGTCGGAAGCAAACTGACACAGAGTTTAAACTGTCTTTGGCTTGCCTTATGCGCTAAGGTGTATTTGTGATGTTTTGTTTTTTTCTTTTAAAACTGAAAAGTCTGAAGTCACAGAAGAGGATGTATTGCTTGAAAACCTATTTAGATGTTTGTACGTGGACATCTGTATAGGTCTCATTAAGGAAATTGCATTCGTTTCAGAAGGCGTAGCTGTACGACTGTCGAGCAGTGACAAGCAGAATGACAAGCTTATGTTTGTCAGCTAAGCATCTTAAACCCAACTGCAAGTGCCCACCATCACAAGCTTTGGTTTCAGGTTCTGACCCATTTACTTCAGTGTTGTCCCAGCTGTCTTAGTACATTTTGTATAGCAGCATCTTTAGTAAGCAGTAACTGGTCAGCAGAAAAACATGCACTATGAATCTTTGTTAGCTACATATAGGACGAGAAAATGGAAATAATTTAAGACTTGAGCATAACCTGACCAAGTAGAATGCATACCTCCCAGCTTTGGATCACATGCAACAGCTACCAAGTTTATTATCATGGATATGTGGATTTTTAAGTGGGCCAGTTCTGTGTTCTTGTGGCAGCTTCATTTACGTCTGTCTCTAGAAGATGCATTTATCTATTTGCTAGTCTTGGGTTTGCCTGCATGTTCTTGAGTTTGATAATAGATTCATTGGTATTATTGGACTAGTCACGTATGTCATTTAAATGGAATAGAATTGGGGCCCAAAGTATTTATAGATCCTGAATTAGACTTTTGGAGAAGGTAGTAATATGAATGAGCATATGTGAAAGGACCATGGAGTGTATTTCTGACAGTATGTTTGAGCTAGTTGTGAGTTGATTCAATTTCTGTTTAAAGCTTGTAATACTCTTTTAGGAACTTTGAAGTAAGACTTTTTCCTTAAAAATCAGTGCATTTGAGTTGTAGATGAATGTTTGCTCTAACATTTTCTGCCAAAACATGAAGAATTAATGTAAAAGTGAATTTTTAGCCTTCATTAAACAGTTAGTATGATAATTAAAATCCAAGTAGCTATACTAATTTCCTTCTTTTGGTTGCATTAGCACCATTGTAATTTTTAAACTTTTTGTCACTAGTTCTTTCTTCTTTTTAAAATTTCTTCATTAAATCATAGGCTGACCTTTTTGCAGAGTACAAAGAATCGGATGATAATTGCCTGATGGAAAATTTCCCTGTGGAAAGGAACTTGTGGCTAATGAAAGTCTGGCAGAGCCAGATCCTTTATCTCTTGACCCTTGTCTTGGCATAGAGGGTATATATGTTGGTGTCAGTGAGCTCTGATGCATTTTATGCTGATCTTTCAATATGTATTTTGTCCCTGAGGAATAATACAGCAATATTATGAATTAGGGCAGTTCTTACACATTCAGGGGTTGTGTAAATCAGGCCAAAGGTTCAGGTTGCTTGAGCCAATCCTGCAACTCTTCTGTACAAAGCAGAATTTTATCGTTGGGCAGTTTCTTCTGCTCATAATGTTCAGAGGTACTGCTTTGGCACTAACTGTGATTTAACATTTTAACATGTTAAATCATTATGAGGGTTTTTTTTTTCTGCAGAAACAGAGTATGGGCATTTGCTATTACTAGTGGTAGTGTTATAGAGGGTTGATAAATGAAAATGCTGGATTTGTTTTTTCAGTTTGTATCCTTTCTTTTCCTATTTCCTTTAAAAATTGTGTGCCTGTATCCTCCATACCATTTAACTTTTCCTCTGAAAGACTTGTGTATTATATATAGAGGACATGGGTAAAAGAGCAATAATGAAAAGAATTGCAATCAAAACCTTGTAATTCCTTAATGGAAATATATAGTTCCTGTCAATAAGAAATATTTCCCTAGAAAGGAGAGAGATTTCTGGAATGGCAGGTGGCACTTCTGTTACATGCTTTGGAGCAGCATGTGCTCTTGTTATGTCAGATGTGAAATTCTTGTTATTAATACAGATAATCTCCTACAGATCTCCTTTAGCAAGATCCTGATGGAATAAATAGGTTTTGCAGTGTGTGATGAAAGCCATGAAACTTGTCTCTCTTTGGCCAAGTAAGGAGGTTGGAAGAGTCATGACTGAAAACATTATGTGTAAGCCCTAGCAATGTTGGATCTGATTGTAACCGGCAAAATATAACATGAAGGGAAGGGTATTCTTTAAGGTTCGTAAGTTTCAAACCTTGAATTTCACTGAAATGAATGGGAATTCAGTCTAGTACTGGTACGTGAGTACATGGCTGTTATATTCTGGATGAGACAGTGACAGTGATTTGTAAAAGTAATTTTGTGCAAAATATATTGCTGTAATTCAATCTGGAGGTGGAACAACATGGAGAATTTTGGTTATATCCATGCTTGAAGGGAGTAATTTCTCCAGATCCTTAACATCGTACGGTTAGAAAAATCGTGTCTACCACTGCTCTACAAACTTTAAAAAAGATGTTTCTTAAGATCAACAACGGCACCAGCTGGGCTAGTAAGATAGATTCTGGAGTACAGACTGGTTATATGTAGCAATGGCACTAGAATATCGACTGTCTTACAGGTTTTATAGATAATGTGGAAGAAGAGAGGTGACAGAGTAGATTCTCGCACTGTGTATAAGAACTGGAGGAGGATGGCAGAATGCTTACCCCATTGTATCCTCAGATTCATTCAAGGAGATGAAAAGAAATAGAATTGAAAATTGTTATCGTTCCTACTGAAGGTCTGATGATGAACAGTGTCAAAAGGCCCTGAAACAACATAGGCACTTGATCTCTGCCATAGTTGAGAACAGAAATGAGGGCTGCTATTAATTACTAAAGGTAAAGGCGATTCCCACGTTTCACATATCAGTAAAACTATCCAAAAAAAAGAGATGAGAGGGATGATGGTTGAGATTGTTAGTATAAAAGATAGCTTTTGAAAATAGTTTATCAATGGCTTTTTTTTTTTTTTTTGGAGATATTAGCACCTCAGCCTTTTGTGACAGGAAGTCTTCACAAATCATAAACCCTGTGTGCTTCATATTTAATTACCAGACAGAGAGGAAATGGACTTCAGGTGTAAAATACGACTGTAGCTCCCTGAATGCTGCAAAACTTTGCTACTTTATATATTTCACATTGGCAACTTAATAGCTAATGAGATGATCATCTTTGGTCACTACTGTTCTCTCCTTAAAATTTAGTAAATTCCTAGCAGGTAATGCCCTTCGTCTGTCACTGAATTCCTGTGCATCTCATAGCAATGCTGGTATTGTGTCGTTACATACCAGCAGTCACTGAACATACACATAATCATTGAGAAATGCTCTTGTGTTGTCACTACTTGTGAATATAAAAGGAGAAAAACAGAAAGGCAGATGTCATTTAATAACCAGTGGCACTTCCTAGAAGAAAAAGAACAATAAAGCTCAGAAATGTGGCTGCTGCTGAAATACAAAACTTCTTGGCCCATACACCTTAAGAAGAAATTAGTCCTTGCCACCCACTATTTGCTTTTAAGTTTGAAAAACCTGGTATTTACATAAGTTGTCTTTTCCCTAAATGTATGCCTTATATAGAAAGTGCCTGAAAACCTGCTTTTGTCTTTGCAGGGGACTTGTTCAGACATTGCCCAGTTCTGAGATGATGAATTGGTGTTCTGTTTTTTGTAGAATCTACAGAGACTGCAAATTTTTTTTGCATTCATCTGCCCTTTTTTAATTTGAACATACCCATATTTGTTTGTAAGCGTTTTCACTGTGCTAGTTGTGTGTGCCATTGCATTCAAAATCTTGTCTTTTCAGAATGTAAATCATGTCAGAAGAGAGACTTTGGTGATTTAAATATTTCAGTTACCATAATTCTGACATGGAACTGATCCACAGTTTAAGCTTTTTCGTGAATAGGAAGTTTTTATAGATACGGTAGCTGAATCAGACTTTTTCCTGAATGCTGCTAAATTGAGTTCAATGTATTAATTTGTACCTGTTGTTTTTGGTTAATGTAGCATTTAAAAAATGAATTATCAAGCAAGTAATTTTTAATTTGTTTCAAAATTAAAGGCCTTGTTCCCTGGAATAGCCAATGATGCAAACCAGCTGTACAGCTGCCATGATTAAGACAGGTTTACAGCTGCTTTACATAACCAGAGCAATGTAAAACAGCTGGACTGTGTTAGGGAATTTGGCCTAAGAACTGTTAAAAACTCAACTGGACAATTCTGAAATTCAAGAACGATCTCCATGGTCTAGGAAGGAACTATATTCAACTAATGCATTTTTTTGCTTGGCTTCATCCAGCTAAATAATCTTGAAACTTTTACTTAGATGTAATCTGTGCTGGAGAGTACTCTTGCCATAGTTAGTATTTTGTCTTAACTTGCCTATATTTTTGGTAATTGGATCCTGTGATTTTCATGTTATGCAAGTTAGATAGTAAGTTGGAGGAATAAAATTTTTTTTTTTTTTTTTTTTTTTTTTAAATTACCCCTGAGCAAATCTCAGAGATTAAATGCAAACATGTCAGGTAGGCCTAGGCTGACATAAATTTATCTATGCGAAGGTAACTCTTAATGAGTTAAGAAATTGCCACCACCACAGCACTGAGACCTGAAATCATCTTTTCTGACTGTGGGAATTTAAACTGATTTTGGAAGCATAGTTACTAAAGTCACTTCATATAAGCAGTGTTGGGAGACAGGTACGTTTGAGAAAGCATTTCAGATCTTAAGGGGACTGATTCATGCTCTGTGAATGTTTTTCTTTCTTCCTTTGGCTACCTACATGTAGGTGAACTAAATCTAGTCCTAAGTTCTCTTTTGCCCCGTCTTTCTTGGCAGAAAATACGTAAACATGCCGTCAGGTTATTTGAACAGTTCAAGAAAAACTAAATTATTACATTTGTTTTTCCTAAGAAAGGTATTAATTGTATTAATTCAGTAATATCTTGTTGAATAGTCATTCAAGAGCAGACTTCTTCTTAATCTATATAGAAAACTAGTGTCATATTTGGCATGTAGATTGTAGTGACGTGGTTTTCGGAGGCACTGAGCAATTACAGGTAGGTTATCTTTGTTTAATGAAGTCTGTAATTCTTGCCTTTCTTTGTAATTTTTTTCATTTTCTTTGTGTTTTCTTGCCATTTTCCACATTCTGAACTGTGGAATATATATGTGGAATATACAATTATACAAACCTCTTAACATTTAAATTGTGCCCATATCAGCACGTTGCAAGACGAGATATGTGCATTTTAGAATGCTCTATCTAATTAAAATTGTTATTGTTGATTAAATTGTCAGTTGTTTCTCCCACAGGAAAATCAAAATGGCAAGCTGGTGGAAAAACGAAGAGGGTGACCCAGGGAGCACACAAAACTGCAAAACAGGTATCTGCTTATTTTTTATTATGACATAAAATTTACGGCATAAAAATGTTTTGTGGTATCACTGATACATTATTGTCTGAATAATACATATATAAAACTGTGCATGCATTGTATTTTTAAAGCATACAAGTTTCAAAGTCAAGTATTTAGAAGTTAAAAAGTATCAGGTTATCTTCCTCAGCCTTTACTTTTGGCACTTCCTAACCTCTGGATGTGTGACGTCTTGGCATTGAAGCTATTTTAAGGAAAGTGCTGTTCAGTAAAATGATAGAGGATATTCTTTCTATAAGCATGCTGCTTATACAAAGGCTACCTTTCAGCCCAATTTCTAATGTAAGGAAATGCTTTATTTCTTGACCTCATGTTAGTGGCTGGAGTCGCTATGTCTTGTTTTGGAAAAAATTAGTCCAGGTGAATAGGATTTCCGAGAGTTACAACTGGAAAGCAAGTCTGAATGAGAAGTGTCAAGAAGAAACGGCTCTTATTTTTATTAATATTTTTTCTGTGTGACTGACAATCTTTATTACATTAGTAAAGTAATATCTCAATCTTTCCTATGTTGAATATTTTTAACAGTTCGTTTTCTTTGATTAGTGGATTTAGCCATTAGAATGGCTTTAGCCATTTATTATTTTGAGACAGACTGTCCGATTTTGATAATACGGCATATGGAAGATGTTATTTAAAAAAGAAAAAGATGTTCTGCTTCCACAGAGATGTGCTTGCATCTTTAAAACATAGGCATGTTATTTTCCCATTTTAGTTGAGCAACTATTAACCTTGTGTTCTGTCTTCATGTACTAGTATGTTACAAGCACTGTGTATCCTGGTTTTCTTGTTCTGTGAAGGTGACATTTTATTGTTGCAGTTGTAGCTCCCTTTAAGGGTTTACCCTCAGAACTTTTTGGGTGTAAGAGTAATGTGCTACATAGTTTGGGTTCTATTTTAGTCACCTGGGATTATGTAAATACTGAATTTTCAGGAGAATACTTCGTTGTTATTCAGCAGCTGTGTGGGATTGCTGTACTAAAACTACTGTAGAAACAGTGCATTCCTAGTGGGTACAATTAAGGTTTGAAATGGGCTGCTGAGCGTCTGTGCATTTTGGCACTTCATCTTGGCATTCGGCACCTTTATTTCTACTGCATTTCAGACACTGGATACTGCTGTAAATTGTTGGCTTTTTTGTTACTTTTTTTGAGCCTTCAGTTTTAATTTTCCTTTACATATAAATGGGCCACTAATCTCAAGAAAATAAACTTACAAGAACTCTTTCGTATGATCTTATCAATCTCATCTTCCTCTTATTAGGGTCCTGGCAAACCTACATTCAATACACTTTGACAATCCTGAGAGTAAATATACACTTCATACTTTCCAGAACACCAAGGCAAGTTCCTGAAACTATTTTGGGGGGGGAAGAGAGATTCAGTTTTAACATCACTTTCATCATCCACACTGAGTTACTCAAGATACAAGAAGGAATATAAAAGTATTGTCAAAGGCTAAGGGCTCTGAGATCACTTACAAGATTCAAAAGTAAGTACCTGGAGCCAGTTAAGAATGATCTGTAGAAATTTACAGGACTGGAGCTTTAGAACTCTGCTCAGAAAAGTTTAGTTCTGTGTCCTTGTGTCTTGCCGAGTGGCAAGAGGCTTCTGCCTCAACTACTAACCAAGGTGAAAAATGTGCTGAGAGTTAGTTGGAAGCTCTAGGCACAAGGATGTGCGTAGAGTTATATGGCTTGGGTATAGCTCCTTGGTGAACATGTGGGATTGTTGCCTTATCGTTCTTCAGACTACACTGTTAGAAATACTTTGTCCTGTACCCATACGTTCCCTCAGAATACCAGAAACATCGAGAGATGATCATCTCTGGAACTGAGTTTCACTATTGCATCACTCTCAATCTGAGCGTGACACTGAAAAATATGATCGGGTCAAAAGTACATACTTGTATTAAATACTGTTAATTAAAACTTAATTCCAGTGGATGAATAAGAATAATAAAGCTATAGCTGTACATCAGCATAGAAACTACAGTCTTGAAAAGTCTGTACCTAATGCAGCATTTCTTGCCTTTCACAGTGAAAGATTAGTTTGATTCATTCGAAAATTTACTTAAGATGCTTGCAGGTTCTGTAAAAATTGTGCTGAACAACATACAGATGAGGTCAGAAATCCTGCTTGCGTTAAACATTTGTACAGAATATAGTAGCCTGTGTAAAATATTAGTAGTGTCTTAAAAGTAGTCTTCGCTGCAGCTTTTAAATTTGAGTGAGTACTGGCTTTCATTTCAGTAAAGTTGGTGCCAGTCAAACTTGATTATCATCAACTTTGAAAGTAGCTTGCTGAGTTTGATCTTTTTTCATGGAATTTCTGGAGACTGAGGTGCCAAACATGGGACACAATTTGGGTTCTTCTCTGAAAATTGACCTGTTTCCTTGAGTGACAGATACCAGGCTGTGACAAATTCACATGTACAGTGTTAGAACTGATTTGTATGAGGAACTTAAAATATTACTTCTATTAGCTAACCGCCAAGTTAAAGCTCACCTGCTTGTGTGATTGTGTTTACAAGAAATTTGGTGGTTGAGGGGTTTGTGTCCTTTCAAGGGTGTTCTACTGGAATATGAATAACTGTAAATGTTGCTTAGGTTTTACTTAGATGATAGAAATTTACTTATGGGGTAATAATGGAACTGCTACAACTTACAGTAGTTAATACAGTTCAGCATGCTGTTTTCCTAATTAAAATACAGATGACATCTAAGAGGTGATACACAGATGCCAAATGTAGTATGTGGTTAGCATTTATTGCTAAATATCAGAACATATGCCATGATGCTGTCTTAAAGATACATTTGGAAATATATCTTCAAATAGTGGGAATTATGCATGGTTCCCATTCCAAAACAACTGATCCTTTGTATCAACAGTATTGGCTGAACCAATAGAAACCTGATCACTTTACTAAGGTCGCATTTTATAAATACAGGCAGCAAAAGGTAACACTGTTATTTTAATATAGCTATTTATGATTCTGTAGTTAAGGTGGTGTCATTATAAACTGTATTTTAAAGGAACTGTAAATTAGCCAAGATAAGCTTTACTTTAAAGGTTTATGTACAAGGCCTCAGCTAATGAACATCTTTTCTCCAAGCTGTTCTTTAAGAGGCGACTCTTATGTCATAGAAGAAAAAATACAAACTACTCTGACATATGAAACCTTTCTGAAATTCCTGTTCATTGGTTGTTTATGACATGCATCTTTTCTGGACATGTGTCTCGTGCATACATTAGCTGGGGTTCATCTGGAGTACACTTAGAGCATTTTGAGATATATGTAAGGGTAGCAGAGATGTTAGTATGATTGTAGCAAATCAGGTTCCCATTCTTGCCCATCTTACAGGAAAATCAGAATGTGAACACAAACGCAGGTGAGAGCATAACCGTTTTGACAGCAGTGTCTACCTTCCTAATGACAAAGTGGAATTTGCTGTGTTGAAGGCCATGTGGTACAGGTAGTCAGAGCACTGAGGGGAATAAGCAGACTGGAACCCGGAGAGAGGCTGCCAAAGAAACAGGGCTCTGGAATTCAGTAAACAGTTCTGCAGATTCTCTCTTCATGTCAGGGTTCAGCGCCTTGTAATGGGAAGCTGTGTTTACAGTGTGAATTTATCAAAGAAGGCCCCTAATATCTAGAGAAGAAAGGCATTTATGTTCTTAATTACAGTGATTGAAAAATTTGGTTATTGCCTACTTTCCCGTTCTGTAATTTGAGCATGAGAAAGAGGAGTTCATTTACATGTTTCCTAAACATGCAGGGAACTTTTTGCAGCTTAGGCACAATTTGTTGGAATTCAGGAGGGATCCACACAAAACAAAGATCCTCTTAAGAACAGTGAGGAGAATTTTCTCTAGACTTTGTACAATCTTTGTGTCTATATATTTCATAACAAAAATATTATTTTAGCTCTTCCTTAAAGGTACTTTCATTGATAAGTCTATCCAAAACTATGCTACAGTTCCTGATTACCTTATGCTGCCTGTACTCTAAAATGAGTTTTCTCTAAGAATTCTCTGTCTCCAAGTATAAACTCACCTGCCATCAAACTCTTTCTGGCACAAAGAAATAATGTTTCCCAGCTTTTTACATAGGGGGCAAAAAGGCTTGAATCCCAGTCAATTGTTCTGCTATTTACAGTATTTCTAGTTAGTGATTATATATTCTAATTATAATCTCTGTGTAATGGTTTGTGTCATGTTGGTTTTGATTATTTTTATTCAATTACCAAAAGCGGAGTTTTTAGAATGGCATTTTGCAGTAATCCCTACAAGTGTACTCCAGTAAGAATTCGTTTTCTGTAGATCTGTCCCACAGTGGACCAGTGCATGAAAACTGCATTAAAGGTGCTATTAAAATGAATGCATTAATGATGAAAAAACAACAAAAAGAACATGCTATTGTAGCATGTAGTTAATACCTCCATCACAAAATGGCACACGGTTAGGCATTACTTTTGAGTTTACTGGAGGTGCTTATCCACCTAGCTTATAGAAGTCTGAACGGTAGCAGGATTTTTCTGTTTGTTTTTTGTTGTGGGAGAGAATTTCAAGTTTAATAAGGACAATGTCATGGGGCCTAGTGCTGATTTGTATTTTCAGCATCCTTCAGAATCTTTTGGAATATTCTGTGCAGGTGAGTGACAGTATACCTCTATCAAGGAGACATATCCCCTTATGACCGACTAAGCTGAACGCACAAGGTCAACAGATACGTAACACTGAGGTGGCATAACGGTACTTGCAAGTAGGTACGTAGCGACTCCTGCCTGTGCCAGCATTTATGAAGACAGCAAAATGTTCTCCCTCTGCTCCCATCACACTTAGCGTGTTGGCAGTTCTCTGCATCTGTGCAGCAGAGTAATACTGGATCAATTAGCCTGCATATTAACACATCAAACAACAGATTTGTTGTAGTTAAAGCTGTTAAATTACAACTTAACAGCATGAGGACACTTTCAGACTTGGCCTACATAGGAGCAACTTGATTCATTGGCACGGCATTTACGTTGGGTTGAATTGAGCTTGCAATGTTAACAATATGGTGAGTGGAAATCTTAGTACAAGGAGTCTTCTAAAGTGTGAAAGCTTCCTTTAGTAACTGCTTGCTGGCAGCTCCTCTGCAGTGTAGCCATAACACATCGATCAAAGGGTCTAGCCACATCAGCATCTCACTGGCATTAATGCTTGTATTAAAAACAATAAAGTCATATGTAAAGTCTTGGTAATAGAATTTAACCGTGATGGAATATTGCTGGTATGATTAATAGAAAAATGTTTTTTTTCATCTCTGGATGCACGTACTTGTCAGAATAAGTAATACAGGATATGTAATTAGAAAGTGTAACATTACAGTGTGCTAAGAGGCAGCATATTTTGTACTGTTGTGCAGTGTGTATGTTGGGTTATAAATGTCAAAGAAACAGAATCTAGTTCTACATAGCTGCTGCCTGTATTTAAGATAAGAAAGTGTGTTTTAAAAAACTCATGTAGTCATCTTCAGTGAAAAATTTCTTGTTTACAGATGTTTGAATATGTTGACAAAATGTGTGTTGCACAGAAATCCAAGTCCTCACCCTACTTCTGTTTGTTGTTTTCTGTTGTATTGTGTTTTTTTCAGACCACTACCATAGACTGTAAATTAACATCAGCAGCAGCTGGAGATAAAAACTTTGACAAAAGCCCAACAAAAATAAGACAGCCTCGAAAAGTTGATCTGCGAGCTCGATACTGGGCATTTCTTTTTGACAATCTCAGACGGGCAGTTGATGAAATCTATGTTACATGTGAATCGGATCAGAGTGTAGTAGAATGCAAGGTACGTCTCCAGTTGTTCTTTGCCTGTTGCCACATGGCTCTTACTGTGCTTCCTGTATACTTTACAAAAAAGCCACATGAGGACTTAGAGCTTCAGAAACATGCTACTTTTTGATTTCATTTAGTGAAGGCTTGTAAATAGGAAAACTGATGGCATATTTATTCAGATTTAAGAAGATTATTTCACCTTAGAGAGTGACTAATTTTTGAAGTGTGTAAAACTTCATGATGTGATGAACAGTGATGTATGAGATCTCAGTTTTCTGATCAAAGCAGGTTTTGCTTATTTGAGTTCTGATTTTTGTTAATTTTCTCACTGAGCATGGGTTTATTTTTTTCCCCCTGTATTGTTCTTTACTGTAGGTGGCACTGTTGTGATTCAGCCTTTTTCATGTTCGTTTGCTTCCTGTTAAGTAGCTTGATTATACATTGCTCCCTTTTTGCAGTGATAGTGATCACTCTTCTCATTCTCTCTGTGGTGTTAAGAAAATGATCGGTGCTCAAGCACAAACAAGGTCTGGTTGGTATGTCACTGTAAGGTGCACTTCCTAACTTTGAGTAACCTGTGTTGGTAATAGCTTGTGCGTCTGTTTTATGTTTTATGATGATTTTCTAGTAGAGCTGTAGAAAGACCATTGTCATTTAATAAAAATCACTCCTTCTTTAGAAATGGAATTTATTGCAAGCGTTAAAAGAAGCCAGAAGAATACATTATAAAAGAAATGTTAAAGATATGACTTCTGTTTTCATATTAAACATGGTTGAAAACTCAACACGTTCTGGAAAGGATTATCTAATCACTAAAAAATTACATATATCAATTTAAGTAAGCTTTTTTCCTTATCGTATGCATCTAGTTGTCTGCTGTAATCAGACACGGCCAAATTGACTTTGAGATTAGCGTACAAATACGTTTCATTGAAAGCAGGTTTGAAAACTGAACAGTAGCTAGAGGCTTCCAAATCGCTGGTTGGTCTAACACAATTTAACATTTACTGAACTGTCTTCCTGCTCAGGAAACTTCTCTGGAGAATTTTTTGGTTTAAGAAAATCAGTCAGCCTTGCATTGTAATTAGATTATCATTTTAAAACTTTTGTGACTGAAAGAACAGAAGCGTATTTGTGTCATTATCACATATTTTTGGGGTTGGACGTCATTCAGCATTTTAATCGTGCTACTTGATCTGTTCTCGAATGGAGATACTACATAGCCTGAGTCAAAAGTCTTCATTTCAGTGGACGCTTGCCAATGCTGTATGTCTCTGTGTGTATCAGATTACTTGTTTGCAAAACCGAGGTGGAAAAAACCAAAAATGAGTAAACAGGGGAGTCCAATGTCATGTGTCGTAGAACTTATGTAACATATATGTTGGCTTTTACCTTTTAAAAGATCTTTCTTCTCGGGGCAAAAAAGTGCCTAGCACGAGTAGCTGGAGTATGCGTTTGTGCCATGATCTTTTGTTTGTGAGGTTTTCTTTTAAAGGTTACTCTTAAATGATGGTTATTACTCTTCTGATAAATTGCTAAATATTCTGCTTATTAAGCTATGAAGTATAAAACTGTTGAGTCTTGCAAATCAGTTTTACTAATAATGTTTCACTTCTATTAATTCTATTGATTGTCATCATTTATTTTGGGCTGGTTATTGTTGACAGATAGAGTCCAGTTTCTACCAGAGATGAAGTTGTCAATGCGTTCTAGCTAATCACTTGCAGCTGAGTATCTTAACTGCTGTCTTTTGAAGTGAGCGCTTTACCTAACTCTTAATAAATAGGCATATAACGTTTTTGGTACTACATACATATGCTTCAACTAGGGAGTGATCAACTTCATCATTAGTGTGGAGGTGTGTTTTAATTTTGGATGGAATATTAGTGATAATGAACAACAGATCCTTGTGGAAACTGCAAGTCTTCCTCACCTCTGATCCTGAAAAGCCAGTGCTTGCTGTCCTCCTCAGCTGAAATATCTTGTCTAAGCGCAGCTTTCATATTATGGAATATATAGAAAGTGTTTGCTGTAGTACCTCAGCCTTTTAGGAGTTCATAAATTAAAATCGTGATCTAGTCTGAGAGTTCAGTTGGCAAACGATATTTATTAAGAAGCACTCATGTGACATTGTTTCAAGAGTTCATGTTAGATTAGTAGAAGGCCTATGTCCTGCCTTAAAAAAGCTTAACTCAGTCTTTGGTTTAATCATCACAGTTTGTCCATGTGTGACTCAGTTTAGGTAAATAATCATAATTTGCTCGTCTAAAACACTTACTTGTTTTGTTGCCTTGGCTTTGGTAGTCCTCTGTACATGGCTATCATGTCACTCCCAAGGACCAAGTTTCATACTTTGTATTGACTGTTCTGATCGTGTCTGGTCAGATCTTGCAAGATCTCTGGTCGTGCCTTTTCTTGCTACCTGAAAACATTAAAGCAAAGAACAGAATGTAGACTCCCTGATTTGTGTCAGCTTGGCTTGTCCACTGTCGCAGGAAAGATGGCTGTAGCAAGGTTCTGCATGTTATTCCAGGGATGGCTCCAACCACTTGAAAGTGCAGGACTGTGAGGGTGCAAAGTGTTTTTATGTCTCTGAATGAGGTATGTGTGAATAACGGCATAACGTGAATTCTATGTGGTCTGATGAAGTATCTCCCTAACTCTGCTGTTGTTGGTAGGATACCAATAATGCAGACGTGGCATGGCAAAATATTTTAAGCTTCATTGGCAGGAAAATAACGCCTATAATATCTTTTCTTACGCTTTTGGACTGAGGAGGCCAGGTTTAATGCAGTCATACCATGTGTCTTGTCTGTCCTTGTATAGCCATGATTTTCTGTCTGTAGGTGCCATAACTTTTAATATCAGTAGACCAATTTATATTAATTTAGTCATTATAGATTTCATAACAGTAGGTGACTAGCTTGGAAGAAGACATCCTGTTAAGGTTCCCATGGCAGAAGAAACTGCCACTCAATCTTTATCAGACACCAGACAATTCAGAGAGAGAACAAGAGAACATGAATGTACCAACTGAAGAAGGAGGGATTGTGTGTGTCATTGTCTTTTGTTTTGTGGGCTTATTTTAGTTTTGGTTTTTATTAATAAGAATTGAAGTGCATGTCATTGTGTCATTTCTGGCACCAGAGAGACAGGTAAGGAGAACATGGGAAAACAGGCTCAACTAGATCCACAGTTTGTAGAATCCCTTAGGCTTTTTTGCTTGGTGGTTTGTGTTTTGTTTTGTTTTGTTTTTATTTCTCTTTGGGCACGAGGAGTTCAGCTAATTCTTACGCTTTTTCCATTTTTATGTATGACAGTACTGGTCTTGTGAGTATTTTAATTTTTAAGATGAAAATTCCGTTTGTAAGGAGCTTTTACTAAGGTTCATGCTAAAAATGAGAATGGCATAGCTTGACTTTTATGTTGTTCTTTGTAAACTTTTTATATTACATAGAAAAGTAGCTAGTGGTTAAAATGTTACAGGAGATCCCAACAGACACATCAGCTCAGTTGAAAATGGATTACTGTATTTCTGCTATACCTAAAGAATTGAGAGGATTTTAATGAATGAGATTTCCATATTGCCACATTTGCTTTTCAAACTCATTTGACAGAATGTCTTGTTAGCTCTTTTCATGAAGTATCATTTTTATTTTTACTACTGGACATATGTGGGATACAATATTAAATAAGGAACCAAAATGGTTAAACTGTTAACTTTTCCTTCTTTGTTTTTTTAAGTGGGATTTTGAAAAATTCTCTTTATTAAGATAAATCCATGTTATCAAAAACTTCGTTAATTTCAACTTTTTAAGTGATATCTCCTCAAACTTATGTTTTGGTCAAATGGGCATGTGCGGTTCTATTTAAACATTTCAGTTGTCTAAAGATTTCTTCTAAAAGAAGACCTGTGTAAAAATGAAATGTAACAACTTCTGGCATTTAAAACCTTCTATTAACTTGGTATAGAAGTGTTGGATTCTTTATTTTGTACCTTTTGCTCGCTTGTATTTTTACAAGTTGGTATACTTTTATTGATTACGTTGTCACTGAAGATAATGTTTAATGCTCCCAAATTGTAAAGGGCTCTAGTGGCTGGTTGTGGTTGAAACTGCAGATGAAAGGGTTGTGGTAAGGATATAAACAGTGGAAATGTGTGTAAGAGGATCAGTGGTTGTGTATATTTTCTCTCGGCTTTGGGCACTGCTGAAGTTGGTGTTTTGCTATTGATTTGGAATTCAGAACTCTCAAGTCAGTATATAGCTATATAGATATAGCTGTGACGCTTTGTATGTAAAGATACAATGAACATGGTTGAATTACTTATAAAACATAGCTCAAGTTTAAGCATCATCTTACTGTACGTAAATCAGTTTGTGCAATAGTGCTAGACAGAGATTAGGTAAATTCTAATAGATTTGGCTATAACCTTCAACATCTCAAAATGCAAATTGTATGGATATCCTGTGCATTAGCCAGGTTACTGTATGTCTAATGTTTATATTGATATTTTATTACCTAGTATTTTCCAGGTTTGGATGGTGAGCTTAGGCAGAAAAGAAATAGTAATGCCTTTAAATCTCTTTCTGCATATGAAAAGGAATTAAGCCCAAAATTACCTGTAGATGAAGGAAGGCAGATTCTGTAGTCAATTTTGGCCAGTGGAATTTTGGTTAATGCAACAGAGAAATGGGTCTGCTGCTGCTATTCTTTATGGTCTTCAGGTGTCTCAGCATTTACATGTATTTTTTTTATATGTATGTATATCTATAAAACCAAGACACCACCCACTTACATAAATTGAGCAACTGCATCCAGCAACTAAGGATACAGTAAGGCCAGAGGAGTCTCAAACTACTTTAAATTTAATTGTTGGGATTTTTTCATCCTAGGATGAATTAATGGTTCCAGCTATTTTGTTCCTTTCAAAACTGAATTTTATTATGTAAAAATTTAGTTCTAGGTTATTTTTAAGTTGCTGTTTAGCATTACTTAATGCTTGTACAAACT